AAAACAGGTGGACTGGTGGCTTGAAAACAGGAAGTGATCAGGCACAAATAAAGAGCAAGCATAAGCCAGGCAGTGGTGGCACACACCTTTAATCCCAGCACTCGGGAGACAAAGGTAGGAGGATCTCTGTGAGTTTAAGGCCAGCCTGGTCCACAGAGCGAGATCCAGGACAGCCAGAGCTACACAGAGAAACCCTGTCTTAAAAACACACTGGGGGGGGGGGCAGCAAATACAATAAGGACATGGGAAGTCAGAAAACTGCAATGGAGAAAGTAGTTCAGAGTTCAGGGTCTTAGATATAAAATGGTTCCAAAGATTTCCTTTTCAAACCTCCAAAAGTGGCCATGCTTAGGAATAACTGAAGTGGCGTGCAGACAGACACTGCTGTTGTTGAAACCGAAAAGAAAGATAATGTCAGAGAATTAGGACAGTCCCTGGAGAAAAGTCAGGTGCTTTTGGGTTGGTTTGGTTTTCTCAATTCTGTAAACCTATTGCCAACCTTGTACCTGCCGGGCCTATAGTAGGCATTCAATTAGCATTCATTTGATGGACAGATGGACTGACGAATGGACAGACAGACAGATAGATGGACAAACATTTTAGCACTTAACAGTGTTTTGTACTTCCCTGTCTTCTACTCTCTACCAAACCATCAACACCAGCAGGTCTTTGCCTCTGGCTTCTTTTATCCCCCTTTGTTTTGTTGAGACAGGGTCTCACATTGTAGTTGCAGCTAACCTGCTAATTCACTAGTAGCCCAGGCTGGCCTAAAATATTGGACAGTCTTTTTGCTTCAATCCCCTGTGTACTAGGATTATAAGTATATGTTATCATCACTAGTATAGGAAATGGTAGGTACTTGACTCTGGGTTTAAGTCAATGAACAAATACTGAACCATAGAGAATAATGACAAGTAAAGATAAAAGTTAAAAAAAAATTGAACCAGAAGCTAAAATCCTCAATGGAGGTAGAAGACTATTTCATAGGTCTATAGACAAGAATTTTAATAGTAATTGTTTAATATAAGCAAATGATGTTGACTTCAAAGTGGAGAGATGAAGCCAGGCCTAGTGGCACAGGCCTATAATTTCAATACCCAGGAAGCTAAAGCAGGAGGTTCCCATGAGTTCTAGACCAGCCTGGGCTACATAGTGAGACCATATCTCCAAAAACCAAAACAAAAAAATTTTATATATCTCCCACATCAAAAACAAGCAGCGAGAGGAGGGATGTGAAATGGAAATGGTAATTTCTCCACATACCACCCATTCACAGTCCCCCACTCCTGACGATCTGCCTACCCCTCTCGTCTTTCCAGACTTCCCCTGCCTTGCCTCATTCTCATATTGTCCTCATGCCTAGAGAGCTTCAATGTCCCTGTGCCGTTCCCTCTGCCGCTCGGCTTTGTGATTTTGTCCTTACACACAATATCAAAAATCAGAGCTCTGAAGTATTTTTAGCAAGATCAGTACTTCCAGATCTCCAGGGGCTCCCGTTTGACTGTCAAATCAAATGGAAACCTGAGTAGCTTTCCATGTCCACCATCCAGCTTTCTGTGAACTGAGGTGTATTCAGTGTACAAAATGCCTTACCTTTTTCCAAGCTTCTGATTACTGTTTTCTCTACCCATCCAGAGCCCGTTTCATGAGAACTCCCTGAAGACTCATTTTCCCTACAGCTCTAATGAAGACAACTGTTCCAGAAACACCTCCCTTCCTTCCCTTCCTCTCTCCTAATTACCAGTCATGAACATTATAGGTATCTTCTTTTCTTGGGTATCGCTCCATGTTCCTCTATTAATTCTGTCATGGAAGTTCCTCTCAAGTCCCTGTCTTTCTTGTGTCAGTGGCCTGTAGATGGTTGTCAAATCAATCAGCCTTCAGTGTATTCTACACTAGAGTTCACTCATCTCGAAGGTGAAATTTTAATTGTGTCCCCAACACACACAGCATACACATTGCACATGTGCACACACACATAATGTTTGAGACATTTCACACACTTTACATACAAAGTCAGGCCCATTTACCTCTGTCTTTATTTCTTGCCTGCACGTCACATGGGCTCTTTTCGCTGAACGTCCTTTCCTCTTAGTACCCTCCATAACCATCCCCATAGCCGGCTCCCCTAACTTTAGTCCACAAGCCTTCAACTTTCTCTCTCTCTGCTGTGCTTTATGTTTTATCTTAACATTTCTGGGGATCAAATTCAGGTCTTATACCTGCTACCTTCTATGCTTTAAAAAGGCTTTTAAATTTTTTAATTAAATTATTTAATTTATTTGGGGGGGGGCACCCATGTGCCGTAGCTGCTTATAGAAGTCAGGAAACAACTTTCAGGAGTCGGTTCTCTCCCATCCACCATGTGGTCCTGGGGATGGTACTCAGGTCATCAGGCTTGGCTGCAAAGGTCTTTACCCACTGGGCTACCTCACTGGCTTTCACAAAACTTGCATTTCAAAATAATCACACATTCACAGGAGATCACAAAGGGAAGGCCTGTGCACTTTCCTCTAGCTTTACCTAGTGTGCCAATTTGCACAATTACAGTATACATCATCAAAATGAAATTATTTTGGTATAGTTTATTGACTTTATTCACATTCCACCGATTATGCATACATTCATGTATGTATCTATGAAATTTTATCATATCTGAAGCCTCACATGACAACTATAATCAAAATATAGAACTATACCATTACATGGCTGTGTCGTGCCACCCTGTCCTATCATAGCCATCTATCACTCCTGGCAATGACTAATCTCTTCCCTCTGTAGTTACGATTTTATAATGTTATATGAATGGAATCACACAGTATATATTTTTTAAGATTGGCCTTATGTACTCTGCATACTTTCCTTGTAATCCTCCCAAATTCTTTGCATATAATAACGGTTTGTTTCTTCATATTGATGAATAGTATTCCACTGCTGTGGATGCTGGCTTGTTTAATCATTTACCCATCAAAGTACGTTTGGATTTTTTTTCCCGTTGAAGCTATTTTGTGTAAAGATGCTACACGCATTCATGTACAAGTTCCTACATGAAAATAAGCCTTAACTTTCTGGAATAAATTGCCCAAGAGTGCAATTGCTAGCTCATATGGCAAGTCTATTTTTAGTTTTGACAGGAACTGCTAAATTATTTTCCAGAGTGGCTCTACCATTTTACATTCCCACTAACAAGATATGTGTGATCTAGTCTCCACATCTTCACTAGGAATTAGTACACTGGTTCCTCCTCGCCATCTTCAGAGTTGGCTGCTGTATGTTGCTTCTCGTCTTTCAGGACCTAGAGAGCCTTTATAGCCTCTGTAGAGCTTTTTCTAACCCCACCTGGAGAAGCTCCCTCTCTCTTCTGCCATCTCGGATACTTCATTGATCATTGCATTTTAATTATTTATTGTCAGAGTCTGTGTATTACCCTCTATTCTGAGCTATATGATGATACAGACCATGCCAGATTCCTCTTGACTCCTGGAGCGTCTAGTCCAGTTCCATTCTGGGCACATAGTAGGTGCTCAGTAAGTGTGTGCTAAGTGAACGAAAGAATGAGTGGAAAGAACGGTAGCCCCCCCCCTGCTAGAAACCTTTTTAAAATAGACATCATGCCTTCCTCTGTGTCTCCCAGCAGCAGTTAATAGGGTGCTCTGTTTGTGTAGATGCTCAATAAATGTCGCCTAAACTGTTCAGGTGGCTTATCTTCCCTCTGCACCCATGAGATAAGCACATGAAAGAGAGAATAGACCTAAGAATCCTTGCATTAAGGATCATATGTCATAAATTTTGTAATATTCTTATAATCTTTACAATCACTCAGCATTCATCTGTGTGATGAGAAATCAAAACAGAATAGTCCTTTAAGTCAAAGAATGCCTCTGTGACCATCCTTTCATTCCTGGTTACATATGAATTGGGGAGGGCAGTGTTTTATGTTCCTGAATTCCTTTTGCCATCTCAGAAGGATCTGGGATTTTTCTGTTTTTCTGCACTGGAGTAATTTGACATGTTGATTATGAAAGGGTCATTAACGTCAACATTTTTGATCACTTTTTGACTCTGTATTTTCTCAACTCTGAAGTCTGTTAATTTGCACTTGTTTACATGTCTCTGTAAGAGTCACTCTGGCCCTTGAGGACTGGGATATGTTTTGTCTGGAAAGTAGATTGTAAGCCCCTTGAGAGCAAGGACCTTATAATTCCTAGGAATGCACTCTGGACATTGTCAGTGTTCAATTAATGATAATATTGGAAGCCTGACTAAGGTTACCTGTCACATTGACATTTCCCTTTTCATCTGTAAGGCTTCATGCCCTCTGCAAATAGCAGTTAGGCTGATTTGATAGCATTGATTCTACTGAAAATTACCCTATTTACCCACTGCAACTTGTTCTTTGGGGTACTTTCAAATTGTAATTTTTGATCAGTTGATACTGTTCTCCTAATACCGTGGTTGCATATGCACCAGGGAGGACTGTATTTCAGAATGCTCAAGTCCTTTGCATAATGAAAAGTAAGCTGATACCATCTAGGCTTTCAAGGCTTGTGCTTCTTGCCCCCACTGATAATTAGGTGATAAACTCCAAGTGTGATTGCTATCTAAGATTATCAGAAGAAAGTCTTCATAACTATTCGATGTATGTGTTTTATTTCTCTAGGTCCTAAAATGGAATAGATGTGTATACTATGCCCCATGGCTATGAAAGTTAAATAGATATCAATTGTTCATCGAAGTCTAGGTTCTGAAATTAAAAGGGCAGATTTGTTCATTGGTGATGGCGGAAATAGGGGAATTGTTATTTTAAGTCAGGTTTATTAAAGTATACTACACATACAGCCAGGTCCGCCCTTTAAGATGGACAGTTTGATGTGATGGACGGGTTACATTTCAATTACTGGATAATTCAACTGTCCCTCCAACACAGTTTACCACCCCTGCAAAGCCCTAACTAAAACTGCCCTTTTTATGATCATTTGTGTCCTTCTTCTTCTTCCCAGTGTGCTGAAGGAAGTGTACCGGGCCTTCAATCCTAAAGCAGTGGTTTTACAGCTGGGAGCAGACACCATTGCTGGGGACCCAATGTGTTCCTTTAACATGACGCCAGTGGGCATCGGCAAGTGTCTGAAGTATGTCCTTCAGTGGCAATTGGCAACCCTGATTTTAGGAGGAGGTGAGTTCAAGGGGAAACCACCAAGAGAATTTGTCAGCCCTCCTCCACATTTTCTTGGCATAGAAGATATGTTGATTTTCTTGGATTGGGAAGTACTAACCTGCCTATGGCCCAGAAGCCTAACTATGAAATAGATTACCTCCACAGTTCAGCATAGACTCCGGCCCATCCCTAGTCAGCTTGACATGTGCTTTGATGCCCAGGCACTCTGAAGTTTGTTTGAATTCTTAAAAAAAAAAAAAGGTTAAAAGTAGAACATTTGCCTAACATACACAGACTCTGTGCTCAAACCTGAGCACTGAATAAAAAAGAAGCTGGGCAGTGATGGTGCATGCCTTTAATCCCAGCATCTGGGAAGCAGAAGCAGGTGGATCTCTGTAAGTTTGTGGCCAGCCTGGGCTACACAGTGAGTGCCAGGATAGCCAGGGCTATACAGAGAAATCATGTCTTGAGTAAACAAAACAAAAACAAAACAAATCAACAACCAAAAAACAAGAAGAAATTAGATTATAATTGAAGATGTCAGCCCCCAAAGACTGTGGGCCCTTCTGTCACAGTAGTCATTAAGTCATCATGTTTCCGAACATACCAATGAAATTCTATCTCTACTCACAATGAATAGCAAATACATGAATTAACTGAATACCTATGATGGATTCAAGAATTACTCCTTTCCCCTAAAGCATGATTTGTTCTAATGAAGCAAACTTGAGAGACCCATAGTCTCTTGAGCATTCATTCCTGCTTCCCTCTTACTGATATTTGCATTATTAAACTAACAGAATGCTAGGTCTGTTTGACAGAAGCATTTATGTGTTTAGAACGTTGCCCAACCTCAGTCACTTTATAGGTACCTTAGGATGGATCTTCTGTCTCTTCACCAGCCACAATATTTATTTCATTGGATCAATAAATTAGTATATCAAAATATGGTCAAGTGGATTGAGATTAAAATGCACATAGATACCATTAGGCACAGTGGCACATGTCTATAATCCCAGTACTTGGGAAATAGAATCAAGAGGATTGGGAGTTAAGGGCTATCATGGGCTACACAAGACCTTGTCTCAAAAAATGTATAAAAAATTGCATATATGTAGGCTAGAGACTGCTCAGTGGTTATGGACGCTTGCTACTCTTGGCAAAGGGCCAAGGTTCAGTTCCCAGCCCCATATGGCAGCTCAACTCTTTGTACCTCCAGTTACAGGGGATCTAATACCTCTTCTGGCCTCTGTGGGCACCCAGCATGTACATGGTATACATACATACATGGAGGCAAAATACTCATACAGATACAATTTTTGTAAAGAAATTAAATGCATATATGATGAACAAGCTAATAGTTTTATCAGCCTCTTGTAAAATCCAAGTCCAGGTAAATTCTGGGAAGGTCTTATGGAGGCAAGTAAGCACGCAGCACAACCTAGTCCTTTGACGTCTTCAAACCCCAGAGAGATCAAAATTAAAACTGATTGCAAGAGACACTCTCTTATGAGAAGCTGGCAAGAAATTTATTAACTTCATCTCCAGAAAAAGATAAAATTGATAAGCATTGCATGGCATATTACTTTCCTTAACAACACTAAGGATGGCGATTATGATACAGGTCCAGCTGGGGGAAAAAGACCTTTCTACAACAGACATCTGTTAGAATTTAACTTTTGTCTGAGGCTACAGCCTTCTTTTGAAGAGTCTATTAGCATTAGCTCAAGTCCTTTTGCTTTTTTAACCTAAAGCTTGGCTCTTGAATATGTAAGTATAACTCTTCTTACGCAATATGTGCATTCCTGAAAATGCCTGTGCATAAGTGAAATTTTTGCAAATGAAGTAATATTATGTGTATACTAGAGGCAGCATACTCCTTAAATAAAACCTATAGTGATTCTTTTTTAAATTAATAACTATGCCAAATAAGTCTGTCTTACAGACTAATTTTCCATGCCAGGAATGTTTCAAGTAATATCCAATCTGTATAGCTGAGATTCTCTGCTCTTATTAACACATAGACAATTTGTAGAGATGGCTGCATTCTCAAGCTTCATCAGAACGGTCCCACTGAGGCCTGAAAGACACACTCCAGAAACCCTAGCCTCCCTGGCCTTTCAAATAGTAGGAAGCTCAAGACAAGGGTAATGGCAGGTCCCAGTTTCTATATGTTAGCCCGGCGTAACAATGAATAGTGTCCTCTATTGCTCTTCAAAGCATACTCTTTTGGATGATAATGTATATGGTCACCCTACCTAAAATAGAGCTGCTTTTATATCCTTTGGTCTGCTCCGAGGTTAGGAAATCATCCCATTTTACGCTTATACTCTTGGAATTTAGCTAAAGGCCAATGTTCTAATGCTTGCATGGCAAACACATCCATTCAGCACAAAAATATGCTGATTATTAACCAGTGTAATATGGCTTCTGGGTGACTGTGACAGGACCTGACGCGATGGGTCAGGGTGTCAATCATCAGTCCCTTCCTCGTCTCACTGTCTTTGATCTCCGCCAGCAGGCCTGTGGTTTGTGGTGATATTAAAAGAAGGAAGTCTGTTTCTGTCAGCACTTTCCTTTTCTTTTTCCTGGATGCCTTCAGGACTAGATCTGCCAATAGCTTTAAAATACAAATCACAGCCAGCAGTCACTTTATAGAATTGTTGCAAAATTCATCTGAGAAACCATCACATTGGGTAGGTCACCTCCAGACATCTGAGTTCCAGGATTCTCAGTCTCACTAATGTCTCTTGGTGGAACTGAGATGCTTGGCTTCCTTGGATGCATATTTGCTAGGAGATGAGAGCCTCTTTAATCTGTGTTGCCCCTGAAATTACAAGTTCTCCTCTGTGCATGATCTGACTGCCCCCATAAAGTCTACCTACTAGGTGGTTTACAAATATCATTAAGGGATGTTTAAGTAAGATTCTGCAAATTGGAGTTGTCTTTTTAGACCTTTTATTAAAACAATCTTCTCTCCTTCCTCACCCCCTTCCCTCTCCTGTTCTGTGACTATTCTTTCCTAACTTCACAATTCTTGATGGAGACAGGAGGCTATAACCTTGCCAACACGGCTCGTTGCTGGACATACTTGACCGGGGTCATCCTAGGGAAAACACTATCCTCTGAGATCCCAGATCATGAGGTAAGTAAGGCTCTGACAAGTCCTCTCTTCTTTAAGGGGAAGAGCTGAGTCATTCTACCTAATCAAAATCACGTCCTCACCACTCAATACCGTTTTGTTGAGAGACACTTCAATAACAATAACACACTGTTTTGGCAGAATAGTGGACTCTTGTTCCAAAATAGCCAAGACCTTCTGCCTTTTTTTTAACAAAAGCTCTCAAAGGCCAACCAACTTTAATTTCTCAATTAATTACAGAGACTGTGGGAAGGGGTCACCTGTTCACACAAAGAACTCTTTGGAGTATGTGCATACTTTCAGCCCCCAGCCTCAAAAGGGAAGGGGCTCATTTTGAAATATACAAGCTAGGTTTGGGTCTGTTTTTAGGGATGCCATAGGTGTGATATGACACATATGTGACACATTTGGCGGTCATCCTCTTCTCTCAATTGTCTTTGACCAGTGTAAAGTTCAGGAACCATAATCACTAAGAAAGGCAGGTCTGGTGGGTTTCCAGCAATTAGAGGAACAGAGATTGGGGCTGGACCATCCAAACTGTGAAACGTATCATCTGAACCGTTGCCATTTTCTCTAGTCATATGAGATGGCCTTTACAAAGCCGAGACGTCTGTTTTAGTTTTCCCAAAACAAGTAATAAAAGCTGTCTGGGACCTGTGAGTGTGCTGATAATCACTAATTCGAAGGTGTACCCCATCTATTCCCACCTACTTCCAGCCCTGGCAGGGAACACATTATCACCAATGAGGGTAGAGCCACAAACCTCAGACTGTGTAACTGAAAATAACAAAGCAGTCTGTGAAACCCTCCTTCGCCAGCTATTTCCCAAAGATGAGGGATGATGCTTTGCTTGTAATGTTATGATGTCTGCCAAATGTGTGCTGTATACTTGAGAGCATTATGCTTTATGAAGTCTCTATTATTTTTTTTAAATTAGAAGTAACTTAAACTAATTTGCTTCCAATTTTCCTTCTAAACATAGGTGAGGTATATAATATGTAACTCAGAGAAACCACTCAATATGTCTAGAATACAAATAGAAGGCACGCTGTAATTTGAGACAATTTGCCAGTGTCAGGGTTAATGGAAGTCTCTTTTCTTGACTTGACTTGACTTACCTTTATTCAGTATTTGGAAGCTTAATGAAATAGAGAGGTAAGTGCTGTGAACAAATGTAATTGCTGTTATTGCTGTGGGACTGTCTCGGATTGCATTGTAACTTAGAGCACCGGGACTCTAAAAACTGATCAAGTTATGTCAGAAAGCAGCCATAAGCTGCAGAAGTCAGAATTGAGAGTGAGTGTTGTGTTCCTCAGAAACAAAAGCAAATCGAATGATTCATCTGTATTAAGAGAGTGATAAAATTTTAATAAACACGAATATTGCCTCTGGTACCTGGAGAAGCTATGCGTGTGAACAGATGTAGGTTTAGCCTTATAGATTGAGATGCTCTGCCTTTATATGGATTCATTCTGCAAGATTCAATGAGATGTAATGCATGTCAAGTGCCTGAGACACAGTTCGTGGCACCTAACAGACATCTCAGAAATGCAAGTTCTTACTTCCCTTTTGCGTGTTCCACACTTCTTATACCCAGATGTTTATGGCTCTGTCATTCATAAACTTGTCCAAACCCTTTGTGAATCCCTTCTGTCATATTTTTCTGTATAAGAGATATGAGTCATCCAAGAAGGAACAAAGAAGAAAATTGAAATGACAGTATTCTGGTACAATGAGATATCATTTTAATGAAAATTGCCAAAAATAGACCACACAGTATGAAGGCATATATAAGTTTTGTGTCACAATACACAATTGCGCACAGATATCCTTGTGGTCTTCTGCAATCGAATCAACAAATGGTAGATAAATAATGTTTTCTGTGTATCCAATATGCGCTAGGAAGTGTACTACTCTCGGTGTCTTAAAAATGCAAAGGTGAGGAAGACCTTATCCCCAGTCTCATGTGGCTGGAGAGGGAAACTATGCGCACATAATGATAAGGCAGAGCAGAGCAGAGCAGGAGCTCTAAGGCCAGGCAGACATGTTCCCACACACCTATAATCCCAGCAGTCTGGCCTCTATGCAGCAGGAGGGTGAATTTGAAGCCAGTTTGAGCTACATAGCAACTTCCAGGCCAGGCTGGACCATTTAGGAGGCTTCGTCTCAATTAAAAACAAACAAACAAACAAACAAAAAACAACAACAACAACAACAAAAAAACAAGGTCGGGGCTGAAGAGATGGCTCAGTGGTCTCAACCTCTGAAGACACCCAGACACCCATGTGGTATCTTAAAACCATCTCTAAGTTCAGTTCCAGGGGATCTGACACATTCTTCTGGCCTCCATGGACACCAGACATGCCAATGGTGCATAGACACACGCCAGCCAGACACCCTTACACATAGTGTTTTCAGAGTAACCAGAAGATAGGAGGAACAGTGACTAAGGGGATGTGCATCAACTATGAAGGGAGCACAGAGCAGAGCACAAAATCCTCTGCCCTCCGGGAGCCAAAGAGACTTGAGAAATACAGTCAGCACAGTCACAAGGTCAAGCTATTGCAACAGTCAGCTATGGCCCAGCTGACCTCCTCGCTATCTCTGCTCTCATTCTTGGACTTTGTTCATCCATCTCCTAGGATAATAGTCATCCTCCTCCTCCTCCAAACGCCCTTTCCCCCTTCTGCACTGTCTTCCTAGGCCTAGCTGCAATCCCCGTGACTTTCAAAGCCCTTTAGCCTAAATCAACCAAGCCCTTTTGAGTATTCCTTTACTTCCTCATTCATTTACCAATGCATGTGGCCCCTACTACTTTCCAGAACAGTCTCAGATCTGGATTCAGATACACACAAACAAGGTAAACCCAGTGTCCTCAAAAATACTGCCCTCTAATTGGGGCAACAAAGCAGTGTGTTCAAATCCAGGACAGTCAGAGAGCCAAAGTGAACTCTTAACAGATCATGGAACTAAATTGACAGTGGCGGTGCACAGCTGTAAACCCAGCACTCAGCGGGCGGAGGCAGGAGGATCACAAGTTCAAGGCTAGCTTGAGACCCTGAAACTTTGAACTGAATAATCCAAACTGATTGAGAGAGTGCTAGGTGATGAAGAGGAGGGTCTCCACAGCACACAAAGGGGACAGAAGGTGGAAAGAACAGTAAGAATGGACTGTGTGTGTGTATAACACAGAATAAATACATAAGAGAATGAGAACACTTGGGGCTTTAGTGGGAACTGTGACCAGATATGAAGAGCCTTAAATGCTGCACAGGTGAGCCCCCCCCCAAAAAAAGATAAACTTAATTTTTAGAAAGCTACTTTGGGGCTGGAGATGGTTCCATGGTTTTAAAAAAAGCACAGGCCCTCTGGATAAGTGAGACAGTGGATTAGCTTGAACTGTTTGGGAGGCATCCAGGCAGTGAGACCAGGACCTGTCCTTGGTGCATGAGCTGGCTTTTTGGAGCCTAGGGCCTGTGCTGAGACACTTTGCTCAGCCTGGGTGTAGGGAGGAGGGGTCTGGACCTGCCTCAATTGAATCTGCCAGGCTGGGCTGACTCCCCAGGGGAGACCTTGTCCTGGAGGAGGTAGGAATGGGGGGAGGATTGGGGGGGGGAGGATGAGGGGTGGGAGGAGGGAGGACAGGGGAATCTGTGGCTGATATATAAAATTAAATTATAAAATAAAAATATTTTTTAAAAAGCACTTGCTATTCTTAGAGAGGACCCAGGTTTGGTTCCCAGCACCCACATGGTAGCTCATAACTGCCCATAACTCCAATTCCAGGGAATATGACACCTTCTTCTGACCTCTACAGGTAACAGGCATGCATGTGGTACATACATGCAGGCAAAAACACATACATGTAAGTTAAGATAAATAAATCTAATATTTTAATTGAAAAGCTTATTTGTTAGAAAGTAGAAGGTAGATTGCTAAGGGAATAAACTTGAAAAGTCATACAACTAAGTTAAAAGTTTCAGGTTTACTCCTAGAACATTTAGTCACAGTGTTTGTGAGCAGAAGCATTACAGATTTGGGTTGTTTTGTCTTGTTTTTTGAGACTTTATAACTAACAACTATATATAAAGAATGAGATTTCCTGTGGATGGAACAGTAATCTAAATACAATTCATTTGTTTCAAATATACCTTCTACATATAGTTTGAAGATAACTTTACAGAATTTTTAATTATTTCTTGCATGAAACAATGTAAGGTATGGTCATTACCACTTCTGATATCAGATTAACACGAAAAAGTTTTAGATTTGGGAGCATTTTGGATTTCAGATTGAAGATTCTCAAACTATACAGTTTTTCTGGTCACCCATGTTTGGTTGTCTATTTTAGTTTTCTGTGTTTAGCAAAATGTTAAAGCACCCAACTAACCGGCATTCCTTCATTAAATAAATAAATAAGCAAGCAGGTATTTGAATAATATTTGTCAACATTCTCCTAAGAGATTTGTGTTTTCAAGATGGGAGAAATAGAAACATACTATAGTCTCTCTGGGAGCATAAGTCAACCCATAGCACCAACTTCCTGTCTTTTTCAAGAAGTGCCATGTATCCAAAGCATCAGAAAGCCATCTATCCCAAGGAAAGGTCTATATTGTCATACAGGGAAGGGATCTGAAAAAGCAAGCCCAACACAGATTCTACAAGCATTTAGGGGTGTCTCTTGGAGCATAACCTCATGCAATATCAAATGGATGATGACATAAAGCCAGCAATCAGGAATTGGGAGGCCAGGCTGGCCAGGCAAGCATGGGGTAGAGACATCACAATGGGGAAAACTTGAGAGAAATGGAGCATGCATGTGTGACTGGGCCCTGAAACTCTACCCTGGGGGAGCCCAAGCACGACAGGAACCCATAAGAAGGCAGTACATGGATAAGTAGCACTATTACATGGAAAAATAGTCTGTAATCTAGTTTTACTATTTTGATCACATGTTTCAATAAAGCAGTTTTATGTACAGGTTGAGCCTTTTTAATCCAAAA